CAAATATACTCATTATATTTGATTTTTTTAATAAAAATTTCGGAATCCCAAATGCATGGTGACAGCACAGACACCTACAAAAAGTACACATCAAAAGACAACATTTACCAGTTATTTTGAAGACACTGCACCAATATAAATTGGTTGAGCATATGGTGCCATGATAGTACTGGAAAGGAGGAGACCTGCAAAGACCTTAGCCTTCTGGCTTACCAAAGGTGCAATTATTATTTGTATTTGTACTATCTGGTGACAGGACAGACACTATTACTCTGGACAAGATTACTGTTGCCAAAAATAATGAATCCAAGTGGAAAACCAACAGCTTTTCTGCTGTTATCAGCCTTTCATGATGTCATGCTACACAAATCACCAGGGCTTTGGAAAGTATTTGTTCCCAGAGACTTACGGTAAGATAATTAGTGAAAGTTTGATTTTTTATTTATGGACAACAAATTTCTGCATATTTCTGCAGATTTAAGGTATTTTTCTGGCTAACATAAGGTTATAGCAGTAATTTGATCAGAATATTGCATAAATATCTTCATTGTCAAGTAATCTGAAAACAGAATTATGAGTTGTTTTCAAGAAAATTCATTTGGACAGGAAATGTTACTTTTTTAGAGAATGACCCATGTATGACACTGATGAGGTTGTAACATGCCGTTATGCAACTTCTATTTTCGAATACTTTTCAATGTTGAAGTCCATTGTTTTCGATGTTTGGTTTCATATTCAATTTCGAAGTTTAGTCGTACTTAACCATGTGTTAACTATACAAACGCAAACAGAGTAGCTTGTTCTGCTTATATCAGCTTTATCGCCTTGTTTGTCTAATAGTGTGGCTTGTGTTACTAGCATCATGGCATGCGTCCACGCTTCATGTATTATAGCGCTAGCAATATGTTGAATCGAAAACCAGCATCTTTGAATAGTTCTCTTATTCTTAACATTACTCTTTTTCACATGAAGATACAAAATTCCCCACTGATTATTTCAAAGCTTCAATTAGGGTTGGCATCTCAGCACACACCTTTGGGTACATGAACAGTGTATGATGCTTGCCCTTTCTTAACTGAACTGTACAAGATTCCCACTTGTCAGAACCAATATTATAAGTTGTAGCCGAATCACTCGTGGTACAACACCTAACATGGGACGCATTAAACCACACATACCCCAAGTGATACTGCTACAAGGATTTTATCTTGCCAACATGTTTCAATCTGCCATTGTAACAGAAATAAAACAAGTTGAAACAGCTGTTCGATTGACCTGAGGTTAACTTGTGCTTTGTCATGTGACTTTTATTGACTCGTAAACAATGTGCAGCTTTTTGCATTGCAGCAGGGTACAAGGGTTTTCTTCTACCGCTCAGGAATCCACATGCAGCCTGTCTTGTTCGTGGCGGGGTATAAGGGATTTATTCTACTGTTCAGAAATGTATTTCCTTCCCAGGCAGGAAACATTACAAGTTTTAGCACTATCACGAGGGGTACATGTCCAACTTTTGACTCTAGTAGGGTTACAGCTGTCCAACTATTAACCTTAGTAGTGTTCTAACTGTCCATCTTTTCACCCTAGTGGTGTTCCAACTGTCCAACTTTTCACCCTAGTAGTGTTCCAACTGTCCAACTTTTCACCCTAGTGGTGTTCCAACTGTCCAACTTTTCACCCTATTGGTGTTCCAACTGTCCATCTTTTCACCCTAGTGGTGTTCCAACTGTCCATCTTTTCACCCTAGTGGTGTTCCAACTGTCCAACTTTCCACCCTAGTGGTGTTCCAACTGTCCATCTTTTCACCCTAGTGGTGTTCCAACTGTCCATCTTTTCACCCTAGTGGTGTTCCAACTGTCCATCTTTTCACCCTAGTGGTGTTCCAGCTGTCCATCTTTTCACCCTAGTGGTGTTCCAACTGTCCATCTTTTAACCCTAGTGGTGTTCCAACTGTCCATCTTTTAACCCTTGTGGTGTTCCAACTGTCCATCTTTTCACCCTAGTGGTGTTCCAACTGTCCAACTTTTAACCCTAGTGGTGTTCCAACTGTCCATCTTTTCACCCTAGTGGTGTTCCAACTGTCCATCTTTTAACCCTTGTGGTGTTTCAACTGTCCATCTTTTCACCCTAGTGGTGTTCCAACTGTCCATCTTTTAACCCTAGTGGTGTTCCAACTGTCCAACTTTTCACCCTAGTGGTGTTCTAGCTGTCCATCTTTTCACCCTAGTGGTGTTCCAACTGTCCATCTTTTAACCCTAGTGGTGTTCCAACTGTCCATCTTTTAACCCTTGTGGTGTTTCAACTGTCCATCTTTTCACCCTAGTGGTGTTCCAACTGTCCAACTTTACACCCTAATGGTGTTCCAACTGTCCATCTTTTAACCCTAGTGGTGTTCCAACTGTCCAACTTTTCACCCTAGTGGTGTTCTAGCTGTCCATCTTTTCACCCTAGTGGTGTTCCAACTGTCCATCTTTTAACCCTAGTGGTGTTCCAACTGTCCATCTTTTAACCCTAGTGGTGTTCCAACTGTCCAACTTTTAACCCTTGTGGTGTTCCAACTGTCCATCTTTTAACCCTAGTGGTGTTCCAACTGTCCAACTTTTCACCCTAGTGGTGTTCAAAATGTCCATCTTTTAACCCTAGTGGTGTTCCAACTCTCCAACTTTTCACCCTAGTGGTGTTCCAACTGTCAATTTTTAACCCTAGTGGTGTTCCAACTGTCCATCTTTTAACCCTAGTGGTGTTCCAACTGTCCAACTTTTCACCCTAGTGGTGTTCTAGCTGTCCATCTTTTAACCCTAGTGGTGTTCCAACTGTCCATCTTTTAACCCTATTGGTGTTCCAACTGTCCAACTTTTAACCCTAGTGGTGTTCCAACTGTCCAACTTTCCACCCTAGTGTTGTTCCAACTGTCCATCTTTTAACCCTAGTGGTGTTCCAACTGTCCATCTTTTCACCCTAGTGGTGTTCCAACTGTCCATCTTTTAACCCTAGTGGTGTTCCAACTGTCCAACTTTCCACCCTCGTGTTGTTCCAACTGTCCATCTTTCCACCCTAGTGGTGTTCCAACTGTCCATCTTTTCACCCTAGTGGTGTTCCAACTGTCCATCTTTTAACCCTAGTGGTGTTCCAACTGTCCATCTTTTCACCCTAGTGGTGTTCCAACTGTCCATCTTTTCACCCTAGTGGTGTTCCAACTGTCCAACTTTCCACCCTAGTGGTGTTCCAACTGTCCATCTTTTCACCCTAGTGGTGTTCCAACTGTCCATCTTTTCACCCTAGTGGTGTTCCAACTGTCCATCTTTTCACCCTAGTGGTGTTCCAGCTGTCCGTCTTTTCACCCTGGTGGTGTTCCAACTGTCCATCTTTTAACCCTAGTGGTGTTCCAACTGTCCAACTTTTAACCCTTGTGGTGTTCCAACTGTCCATCTTTTCACCCTAGTGGTGTTCCAACTGTCCATCTTTTCACCCTAGTGGTGTTCCAACTGTCCATCTTTCCACCCTAGTGGTGTTCCAACTGTCCATCTTTCCACCCTAGTGGTGTTCCAACTGTCCAACTTTTCACCCTAATGGTGTTCCAACTGTCCATCTTTTAACCCTAGTGGTGTTCCATAACTTCCAACTGTCCAACTTTTCACCCTAGTGGTGTTCTAGCTGTCCATCTTTTCACCCTAGTGGTGTTCCAACTGTCCATCTTTTAACCCTAGTGGTGTTCCAACTGTCCATCTTTTAACCCTAGTGGTGTTCCAACTGTCCAACTTTTCACCCTAGTGGTGTTCCAACTGTCCAACTTTTCACCCTAGTGGTGTTCAAAATGTCCATCTTTTAACCCTAGTGGTGTTCCAACTGTCCTACTTTTCACCCTAGTGGTGTTCTAACTGTCCATCTTTTAACCCTAGTGGTGTTCCAACTGTCCATCTTTTCACCCTAGTGGTGTTCCAACTGTCCATCTTTTCACCCTAGTGGTGTTCCAACTGTCCATCTTTTCACCCTAGTGGTGTTCCAGCTGTCCATCTTTTCACCCTAGTGGTGTTCCAACTGTCCATCTTTTAACCCTAGTGGTGTTCCAACTGTCCATCTTTTAACCCTTGTGGTGTTTCAACTGTCCATCTTTTAACCCTAGTGGTGTTCCAACTGTCCATCTTTTAACCCTATTGGTGTTCCAGCTGTCCAACTTTTAACCCTAGTGGTGTTCCAACTGTCCAACTTTCCACCCTAGTGTTGTTCCAACTGTCCAACTTTCCACCCTAGTGTTGTTCCAACTGTCCATCTTTCCACCCTAGTGGTGTTCCAACTGTCCATCTTTTAACCCTAGTGGTGTTCCAACTGTCCAACTTTTCACCCTAGTGGTGTTCCAACTGTCCATCTTTTCACCCTAGTGTTGTTCCAACTGTCCATCTTTCCACCTTAGTGGTGTTCCAACTGTCCATCTTTTAACCCTAGTGGTGTTCCAACTGTCCAACATTTCACCCTAGTGGTGTTCCAACTGTCCATCTTTACACCCTAGTGGTGTTCCAACTGTCCAACATTTCACCCTAGTGGTGTTCTAACTGTCCATCTTTTCACCCTAGTGGTGTTCCAACTGTCCAACTTTTCACCCTAGTGGTGTTCCAACTGTCCAACTTTTCACCCTAGTGGTGTTCCAACTGTCCAACTTTTCACCCTAGTGGTGTTCCAACTCTCCAACCTTTAACAGGCCGATTAACTTTGTTTTTGAAATACCAAAGTCAGACATGATGGTTGGAATGCTTGGCTCCACTGTACGGAGAGTTTCAAAGCCTTCACGCTGATTGATTAGGAAGTTCAACTGATGCGACCTTCTGTGCAGTTGATGGGGGTGTCTTCGGGTCTTCCTGCCGGGGGTTATTGTATCAGCATGATGAAAATAAAGGATGTGATTTTAATGAACTTGCCTTACATCTTGTCGTTACAATGTTCAAGTTATGATGAGGACCCCTTGGCCTTCATGTTTGAATTCAAACAGTGTTTGTTTTTCTCCACAGATGCGGCCGATACAAGTACGTCCTGCCCTGAAGTAGCATGTCTTGGCCAGCCGGTCAACATCACCTGTGACATCACAGGGGTGTACGATACAATTGGGTTTTCACGGCCAGGGGGTCTTGAAGTAATGACGTGCCTGGCCAAGGAGGAAAAATGCTATGTTAATGTTGATAATTATGAGATTGTGTTTCGCTCTCCTGAAAAGCATATTCTTCGTATCAAGAAATTTGCAAAGAAGGATATTGGAACGTGGAATTGTCGAGATGGAACCGACCCTCTCTTGAAGACTTGTCATGTGGATGGATATGGTAAGATTCTTACCATTTTGAAGTTGGGCGGGGGATATAGGAACCGTGTTTTCAGTCCTTCCGCTTCTCAGTTGGGGCAGATTTTCAGAAAAGCTATATTTTTAGACTTATCCCATCTCACAATACGCATTTCTTTTTCTTCTTTCGATCCTATATGTCTGTAACTGCCTGAGGTGGCCCAGTGACAGCAGAGTTCACTGACTCTGCAGAGTGTCTAGATCGAATCCCACTGCTGACTCATGGCCCTTTGCGTTGTGTTTTATTTGATGGTAACTGTCTGGTTTAACCGTGAGTCAGCTAACTGGGGACACTCCTGTGAGACGTTGTAGTAGGGTTCATGCATCCGGCGGGGGAATAAGGACAAAAATGCTTGTTGAAAATATAATGAATTTTTAATATAACAAAAGTGAAATGTTTAACAGAATATAAAATTAAAAAATTCAACAATCACACAGAAGAAAGCTGTCTATAATTTACTACCTATATATTTCTACCTACCCTGAGCCTACTTATTCCAAACCCCATTTCTCCCCCAAGGAAACCCCTACACAAACTATATGAATAAATCTACCTACATACTTACGATTCTACTAACATCCTAATTTCTCCCCCACCCAGCTACATCAAAACCTATTCTACAACTAACTAAAGAGGTGTCTTGTTAAACAAGAGTCTGTGTCAAAATATCCCCGAACTTGAGAGGACTTATTTGTCGGGGAATCCCGAGCTCATAAGACACTGAATGCTGCAGTACCAGGTCCTTATATACCACTAGGCTGACCCTTGACCCTGTCATACAGCCATTGGCCAGCAACGCTGTTTGCAACCAATCAGGGTGTTCCTACCATATTGTGCTCGGCGGATCAAAGCTCGTGGCAGAACATACACGTGGCTCGAGCACACACCCCAAAGGTCCAAAAGAAAACGATTTACGGCCAAAAACATGAGTAATAAGAGAGATAACTGACTACAGGATACATATGACTTCCAGACGTACTTATATCAAATGTATAAGATGTTTCTTATCGATTCTAAAAATAGCCACCCAGTGTCCCTTATGCTATGTTATTAAGCTAAATGACGTGATCTCCTACATGTCTGAAACAAAGGTTTCCTGCTTCTAAAGAATATTCATCCACCATACGTACCTCACATCGCCAGATCTAGGTCATGCACGAATTGCATGCTGGTTGACCTACATGCGCCCATCACGTGTCTATCCCAGCAAACTCATCCTCTTTCAAATCGCCACAGTGGTGATGTGTTTTTGGATCTGGGAATCCATTTTTGTTTTTTCCTTGCCAATTTACCTATTTCTACGGCATGACGTGTAGGCGTATCTTCTCTCCTTCAGATCCTCATTACGAGTGCTCGGTTTGTTGCAGCAAGTGTATTAAATTATGTTTCAACAGAGTTATGTCCCTTGCTCCGTGCTTTTCGACTTAGTTCATACTGAATGAAATGGGGACATGTTTTCTTAGAAACTAATAAAGTTACATGAAGGAAGTTAGCACGCTAGACTAAGAGATACTTGTCAAGACTGAGTTAGAAAATTTGTGCCGTAAATAATGTTTTTCCAGAGTTACATCCCTTGCTACATGTTTTTAGAATTTGTGCATACATGCCCAGTTACGGTCTTGATCCATGTTTTATTTGTTTTATTCGGTGCATAGTGAAAGTAAAATCAGATTTTCCCCTGACAAAGCCACCCCAGTGCCTCTCTCTTTCTAAGATTGTATTGGACTCTTTGTTTCCACTGTTAACATAGGTTAAGAATAGGTCTTCAGCAACCCATACTTGCTGTCAAAGGTGACAATGCTTGTCGTAAAAGGCAGCTAACGGGATTGGGTGGTCAGACTCGCTGACTTCGTTGATCAATGTCTTCATACGCCAATTGCATAGATTGATACTCTTGATGTCAATCACTGGATTGTCTGGTCCAGACTCGATTATTTACAGACCCCCGTCATGCAGATGGAATATTGCTGAGTGTGGTGTTAAATAGCAAACAAACAAACAATCTTTATCATGCTGAAGCATAATTATTTTTTTCAAAATTTTTCAGGAACAAAAATTCTTATACAAGAAAATCCCTGCACCTCTTCCCACCCCACTGTCCGTTATGGCTGTGAGTATACATATTTCTGGCTACAGCCCAGTATTATTTTCATTTGATTTCTTTTCTTATTTCAGATGTAAAACAGTCCCCAACACCCCCTACTCCAGGTTGCGTTGAAGTCGACAGAACTACATTTGGTCCGAGTACATTGTGTAAAGGTTTTGAAAAGGATCCAAATGTCAACATTACAATAACGGTGAGACGGATTAAGGATTTCAAATCACCACTTTTGGTGAAGATTCACTGCCATGTCTCCATGTGTGAGTCTGATGGTTGGGATGCTGTGCCTGTGTTTGGCAACGCCTCCATGAGTGAGTCTGATCTTTGGGATGCTGTGTTAGGCCACTCCTCCATGTGTGAGTCTGATTGTTTGGATGCTGTGTTAGGCCACTCCTCCATGTGTGAGTCTGATTGTTGAGATGCTGTGTTAGGCCACTCCTCCGTGTGTGAGTCTGATTGTTGGGATGCTGTGTTAGGCCACTCCTCCATGTGTGAGTCTGATTGTTGGGATACTGTGTTAGGCCACTCCTCCATGTGTGAGTCTGATGGTTGGGATGCTGTGCCTGTGTTTGGCAACGCCTCCATGTGTCAGTCTGATTGTTGGGATGCTGTGCCTGTGTTTGGCAACGCCTCCATGAGTGAGTCTGATTGTGTGGATGCTGTGCCTGTGTTAGGCCACTCCTCCATGTGTGAGTCTGATTGTTGGGATGCTGTGTTAGGCCACTCCTCCATGTGTGAGTCTGATGGTTGGGATGCTGTGCCTGTGTTAGGCCACTCCTCCATGTGTGGATCAAAGCTCGTGGCAGAACATACACGTGGCTCGAGCACACACCCCAAAGGTCCAAAAGAAAACGATTTACGGCCAAAAACATGAGTAATAAGAGAGATAACTGACTACAGGATACATATGACTTCCAGACGTACTTATATCAAATGTATAAGATGTTTCTTATCGATTCTAAAAATAGCCACCCAGTGTCCCTTATGCTATGTTATTAAGCTAAATGACGTGATCTCCTACATGTCTGAAACAAAGGTTTCCTGCTTCTAAAGAATATTCATCCACCATACGTACCTCACATCGCCAGATCTAGGTCATGCACGAATTGCATGCTGGTTGACCTACATGCGCCCATCACGTGTCTATCCCAGCAAACTCATCCTCTTTCAAATCGCCACAGTGGTGATGTGTTTTTGGATCTGGGAATCCATTTTTGTTTTTTCCTTGCCAATTTACCTATTTCTACGGCATGACGTGTAGGCGTATCTTCTCTCCTTCAGATCCTCATTACGAGTGCTCGGTAGGTTGCAGCAAGTGTATTAAATTATGTTTCAACAGAGTTATGTCCCTTGCTCCGTGCTTTTCGACTTAGTTCATACTGAATGAAATGGGGACATGTTTTCTTAGAAACTAATAAAGTTACATGAAGGAAGTTAGCACGCTAGACTAAGAGATACTTGTCAAGACTGAGTTAGAAAATTTGTGCCGTAAATAATGTTTTTCCAGAGTTACATCCCTTGCTACATGTTTTTAGAATTTGTGCATACATGCCCAGTTACGGTCTTGATCCATGTTTTATTTGTTTTATTCGGTGCATAGTGAAAGTAAAATCAGATTTTCCCCTGACAAAGCCACCCCAGTGCCTCTCTCTTTCTAAGATTGTATTGGACTCTTTGTTTCCACTGTTAACATAGGTTAAGAATAGGTCTTCAGCAACCCATACTTGCTGTCAAAGGTGACAATGCTTGTCGTAAAAGGCAGCTAACGGGATTGGGTGGTCAGACTCGCTGACTTCGTTGATCAATGTCTTCATACGCCAATTGCATAGATTGATACTCTTGATGTCAATCACTGGATTGTCTGGTCCAGACTCGATTATTTACAGACCCCCGTCATGCAGATGGAATATTGCTGAGTGTGGTGTTAAATAGCAAACAAACAAACAATCTTTATCATGCTGAAGCATAATTATTTTTTTCAAAATTTTTCAGGAACAAAAATTCTTATACAAGAAAATCCCTGCACCTCTTCCCACCCCACTGTCCGTTATGGCTGTGAGTATACATATTTCTGGCTACAGCCCAGTATTATTTTCATTTGATTTCTTTTCTTATTTCAGATGTAAAACAGTCCCCAACACCCCCTACTCCAGGTTGCGTTGAAGTCGACAAAACTACATTTGGTCCGAGTACATTGTGTAAAGGTTTTGAAAAGGATCCAAATGTCAACATTACAATAACGGTGAGACGGATTAAGGATTTCAAATCACCACTTTTGGTGAAGATTCACTGCCATGTCTCCATGTGTGAGTCTGATGGTTGGGATGCTGTGCCTGTGTTTGGCAACGCCTCCATGAGTGAGTCTGATCTTTGGGATGCTGTGTTAGGCCACTCCTCCATGTGTGAGTCTGATTGTTGGGATGCTGTGTTAGGCCACTCCCCCATGTGTGAGTCTGATCTTTGGGATGCTGTGCCTGTGTTCGGCCACTCCCCCATGTGTGAGTCTGATCTTTGGGATGCTGTGCCTGTGTTAGGCCACTCCTCCATGTGTGAGTCTGATGGTTGGGATGCTGTGCCTGTGTTAGGCCACTCCTCCATGCGTGAGTCTGATTGTTGGGATTCTGTGCCTGTGTTCGGCCACTCCCCCATGTGTGAGTCTGATCTTTGGGATGCTGTGCCTGTGTTAGGCAACTCCCCCATGTGTGAGTCTGATCTTTGGGATGCTGTGCCTGTGTTCGGCCACTCCCCCATGTGTGAGTCTGATCTTTGGGATGCTGTGCCTGTGTTAGGCCACTCCTCCATGTGTGAGTCTGATTGTTGGGATGCTGTGCCTGTGTTCGGCCACTCCCCCATGTGTGAGTCTGATCTTTGGGATGCTGTGCCTGTGTTAGGCCACTCCTCTATGCGTGAGTCTGATTGTTGGGATTCTGTGCCTGTGTTCGGCCACTCCCCCATGTGTGAGTCTGATCTTTGGGATTCTGTGCCTGTGTTCGGCCACTCCTCCATGTGTGAGTCTGATTGTTGGGATGCTGTGTCTGTGTTAGGCCACTCCTCCATGTGTGAGTCTGATCTTTGGGATGCTGTGCCTGTGTTCGGCCACTCCTCCATGTGTGAGTCTGATTGTTGGGATGCTGTGCCTGTGTTAGGCCACTCCCCCATGTGTGAGTCTGATTGTTGGGATGCTGTGCCTGTGTTCGGCCACTCCTCCATGTGTGAGTCTGATTGTTGGGATGCTGTGCCTGTGTTCGGCCACTCCCCCATGTGTGAGTCTGATTGTTGGGATGCTGTGCCTGTGTTCGGCCACTCCCCCATGTGTGAGTCTGATCTTTGGGATGCTGTGCCTGTGTTAGGCCACTCCTCTATGCGTGAGTCTGATCTTTGGGATGCTGTGCCTGTGTTCGGCCACTCCTCATTCTAGATGGAACTGAACTCTACTCATGGAAGTGGATGAATACTATCATCTGTTATTACCTGAGTGACTGATCAGTAATGAGTAATTCTAATTGTTCTGGACACCTTATATTTCCTGAATATGCTGAAAAAAACCATTACATTTTTTTCCGAATGATCTTTCATGTCAGATTGATGCATTTGGTAAAAATGACAGAATAGAAAACCAGTTTTTAGTTTGAATAATATTTTTAATTTCTTGCAAACATAACTACTTCTTGACATGTGATCACTTTGGGCTTCTCCCTCATTGATCTGACAAGCCGTGATATTACTGGAATACTGTTCAAAGCGGCATTAACATCACTCGCTCACTCACTATAAGTCAGTACCATGATTACAGAGATTATCCTGTGATATGTGATTGTTTGTTTGCTGTTAACGCCACACTAAGGATTCAAGCTATATGACCAAATAAATTGTTTCATGATTTAAGTAATGTCGGATGTCTCCAGAGTATTACACACAATGAACCAGGTCACTGGCCCTGACCACGTGATCCATCAAGTTGCCTGACACGCATAGGTTGCTGGGTACCAATTCTAACACAGACTCCCCACAGTGTAGATGTGTGAATAGGTTCATCTGAATAAGGGACGATCGGTTACAAGATAAGCTGGTCCTTTGTCCAGTATTACAGTCCCAAATGTCCAGATTAGTAAGATATTTCAGTCAGTATAATTATTTTTTTCAGGTGGCCAACCTGCCCTACACCTTCACGTATGACCAGTACAAAGAGAATGATGATGTGTCTCTCCCCTACATCCCGAAAGGTGGGGATGTAGAATGCAGAGTCACTGGGCCAGCCTCTCAGTGCTACACTGTCTCCAAGCCATACAAGAACAAAATCTGTAAGTTTCCAAGTGCGGGCACGAGGGCTGCATATTGGCGGAAAAATTGTATTACAAAATATTAAGGGGTTAAAAAATCCGATGTTCCGGACATCAAATTAGATAGGGACTCCCAAACTCTTTTGTGGGTTAAATGTCTGATGACGTACCTATTTATTATTGGGACATATGTGTTTCAATGGCCATGCTTACACCATCGAAAATTGCAGACAATCTACCTTTTTATACTCACTGTTTACAACATTAGCACATGGTTTCTATGTTTATCAGACAGACAATAAGGCTTGTCCTCCTTGTTAACCATACAACCATGTTGCCACAACATCCTATGTGAATGTATATTTGAAGTCCCCCGCTTCAGCCAATCGCAATGAGTTTGAATATAAACAGTGAATGCAATTTGGAATAACAACGTATCATAAAATCATAAAATATGTTATTGCATATGAAAGTTCGAAATCAAACAAGAACAAAATCTGTAAGTTACCCCTCAGTGCTATACACCGTCCAAGCCATACAAGAACAAAATCTGTAAGTTGCCAAACATTGGCACCTTTTACCCCTCAGTGCTATACACCGTCCAAGCCATACAAGAACAAAATCTGTAAGTTGCCAAACATTGGCACCTTTTTACCCCTCAGTGCTATACACCCTCCAAGCCATACAAGAACAAAATCTGTAAGTTGCCAAACATTGGCACCTCTTTACCCCTCGGTGCTATACACCCTCCAAGCCATACAAGAACAAAATCTGTAAGTTGCCAAACATTGGCACCTCTTTTCCCCTCAGTGCTATACACCCTCCAAGCCATACAAGAACAAAATCTGTAAGATGCCAAACTTTGGCACCTCTTTACCCCTCAGTGCTATACACCCTCCAAGCCATACAAGAACAAAATCTGTAAGTTGCCAAACATTGGCACCTCTTTACCCCTCGGTGCTATACACCCTCCAAGCCATACAAGAACAAAATCTGTAAGTTGCCAAACTTTGGCACCTCTTTACCCCTCAGTGCTATACACCCTCCAAGCCATACAAGAACAAAATCTGTAAGTTGCCAAACTTTGGCACCTCTTTACCCCTCAGTGCTATACACCCTCCAAGCCATACAAGAACAAAATCTGTAAGTTACCCCTCAGTGCTATACACCCTCCAAGCCATACAAGAACAAAATCTGTAAGTTACCCCTCAGTGCTATACACCCTCCAAGCCATACAAGAACAAAATCTGTAAGTTGCCAAACATTAGCACCTCTTTGCCCCTCAGTGCTATACTTCCTCCAAGCCATACTCACTCACTCACTCACTCACCTATGTACTCACTCACCTATGTTATCACTCACTCACCTATGTTCTCACTCACTCACTCACTTTCATCTTTTTAGGTGCTCCTGGATTTTCTACATTGGCTTACATTGGCCTTGTCATTGGCCTTGTAGTTGGACTGGGCCTTGTCGGCCTAGCGGTTGATTGCTTTTACTGCAAGCCAAGGAATAAGGGCGCCATTCACTTCGTGGGGGCCAAACTGAAGTCCAGGAATCCTGATGCAACAACTGAAGAGTATGTATAACCTCAGACTTTCAACAAACTTTGAAGCTTAATTGTCCTGAATTCCGTAGTTTTACACCTCCCTGACTTGTGGCACGCCTTGGATAAACTCATGAATTTGGATGACTGGTGTAAACATACAGACATGCACTTTTGGTAAGCAATAATGCAAAAGTCAACTCCACTTCAAACCGAAATAATGATGATGATTTAAAATCAGCTTTCAACTTGTTAAAATTCTGCAGTGTATTTGACAAATTCTGCTGTAGAATACTAGATCAAAGAAAAATTCTGCATGAGTTCAGCACAGAATATGATTTTTTCTGCAAAATAGTTACATTTCTGCACTGGACCGTATTTCTGCAAATTATTCCGCAGAATACAGCAGGAATGGACATGTCTCCAATAAGACCACCATAGACCCATACCACAAAGTGATTTTAGCGCTGTGAAGATCATAAGTGCAATGTTAAAGTCAACTTAAGATAATACAAGATAACTTTAACGAAGCTGAAGAGCAGATGATGCCATGTGCATGTTAGAGTACTCCCTGTGGGGGATCCATGCTAGAACTGGCCCCCAGTAACCTATGCTTGTCATTATAGGAGCCTGCGTGGATCAGGTGGTCCAAATATGTGGATCGTGCTCATGATGTCGATCACTGGCTTGTCTAGTCCACACTTGATTTTATATATATAGAACACTGTCATATGACTGGAATATTGCTGAGTGAGGCATTGAACAACAAACATACTTGACAGAATGAGACCAGTTCCAAAAAGGAGGAGACGTACGATCGTCTTAGCGCTAAGATCACTTTGTGTCCCTGGTCTCATGACATCATTCTCCATGGGCCCATTCTCCTCAAAATGAACTTCCTGCAAAGACTGTCATAACTCCCATACTCTGTCATAGACTTGTGATTATCTTAGCGCTAAGATGTGGAATGGAGGCCAGGCAAGCATCTTCAGAACAGGTCTTCTTGGATGTTTGTGTTGTTCGTGCTACAACTGTTATAACTCCCATACTCTATCATAGACTTGTGATTATCTTAGCGCTAAGATGTGGAATGGAGGCCAGACAAGCATCTTCAGAACAGGTCTTCTTGGATGTTTGTGTTGTTCGTGCTACAACTGTTATAACTCCCATTACTCATCTCAGCCTAATGTTTGTCTTAGCGCTAAGATGTGGAATGGAGGCCAGGCAAGCATCTTCAGAACAGGTCTTCTTGGATGTTTGTGTTGTTCGTGCTACAACTGTTATAACTCCCATTACTCATCTCAGCCTAATGTTTATCTTAGCGCTCAGATGTGGAATGGAGGCCAGGCAAGCATCTTCAGAACAGGTCTTCTTGGATGTTTGTGTTGTTCGTGCTACAACTGTTATAACTCCCATTACTCATCTCAGCCTAATGTTTGTCTTAGCGCTAAGATGTGGAATGGAGGCCAGGCAAGCATCTTCAGAACAGGTCTTCTTGGATGTTTGTGTTGTTCGTGCTACAACTGTTATAACTCCCATTACTCATCTCAGCCTAATGTTTGTCTTAGCGCTAAGATGGTATGTCAAATGAACTCTTGAACATATTTCTTTCTTCACTGTGTTTGGTATATTGAAGTTTGTTTATCTAAACATTTGTTGTTCCATCCCTTAAAAAATCGAGTCTAGACCAGACAATCCAGTGACTGACATCATGAGCATCGATCCAGGCAATTGGGATACAATGACATGCAGCCTTTGTTAAATTGACATTTGTAAAGATATTTGTGTATAAAGGTATCTTGCCATTTTAGCGACACCTCGGGTAACTCCTTCTTACTTGTCAACACAGTGGCAAAGGACAGTGCTTGAAAAGTATGGCAGTGCTGTTTTACTGGATGCAACATACAAAAACTAATAAGTACAACCCGTCTCTGTATCAACTGGCAGTACAGACAGACTTGGTTAAGTTCCCAAATATGTTGGCTACAGACCTAACAATCTGTACCCCTGATCTCGCCCAAAGCACTTTGTGGGAAGTGCATGAGGAGCCACTCGGCAGCGCCAACTTTAAAAAAAAACCTCAATTAACACCAATCTCCCATCGCATAATAAATTACCTAAATACACACAACCTAAATAATTTAAAACTAGACACAGCACCAAATAACACCTTCAAACCCAAACTCCAAACCCCCCCCAAATCAACATATCTCTCTCCACCAAACTAAATAAAGAAACTGATCCAAATATCGCTAAATCCACCACACGAGCATACATTCATGAAAATGGCCAAATTGGTGCCACATTTACACAGATGGGTCCTCTGACCCAGGCTCAAAAAGCACAGGATTCGGCATCCATATCGACAAACCCAAAAAATAAACAAAATCCTATAGGCTCCCAAATAATCAATCAATTTTCACAGCCGAATTAATGGGGATAGTAACAGCTCTGCACAGCGATCAAATAAATAGACACCGAAAAACCCTAATCCTTTCAGACTCATTAAGTGGGCTCCAGGTCATAAAAATAAAAACACAAAAAAACGCCTATAACTAATAAAACAGATGATTAAAAGTGCCAACAATCTACTTAAACTAGGTAAAGACACAGAAATAGTTTGGATCCCTGCCAACATTGGAGTGTTTGGCAATGAACACACAGACAAAGCAGCCAAATCAGCACTAAAATTAGAAGTAAGCATCAACCTACCAATATCCAAAAATTAAAAGTATCACAAAGGAGAAAATCTTCCCAAAGTGGCAAAATAACCACAAGAAATCTGATTGCAAACTAAAACACCTGCTACAAAAGCCACTCAAACAAAAATCCATCATAAAACCAAAAACATGCACAGAGTAATAACTAAACTACAAACAGGCCACACTAAGTTAAACTCCCACCTACATCAAATTAAAAAACACCAAACTGGTAAATGCAACTAAAAAGAAACTCCTGAAACTTAATATTATATTGCACACAGTACCAGCAACACAGAACAACACTCCAATCCGATCCACACTAAACTGCAACGATCAAATGACACTAGCAATGCTACTTAACCCCCTAAATGACTTACAAACTTTTAAAGCACTTGGCATCTATCTTATCAAAACAGGCCAACTCGGCCGCATCTAAAAAAAGTACTACAAACAAGCTGTCCATAAATCCTAAAATTCTAAACCTATAAAAACACACAAACTCACAGAGCTCCATTTAGTCCCCACCCTTTATTCAACGTAATAAGCTCCCCACTCTAATAAACGCCCACGGCGATATTTGCTAATATATTGGCAAGTGAACAATCCCAATTAGCACCCCTTCCGATTGATCAATGTACACAAGACTTATTTATTCATGTATAATACGCACTCGTGTGTTATATACACCCTTAATTATGGGCAATTAAATTCTGGAAAAATATATCTGTCGTATATAAACAGTTCAGGCCGTCAGCATAAACCACAAAATATATCTTTTAACCCTGTTTTTTCCACCAAAATAATATTCTAATAAGAGCCCCCTATTTCTAATTTTGAGAGCGTCCTGGGCGCTTATTACGTCGAATACGGTACCCTTTTCGACCAATCACTAAATGGCCTGGCGGGCCCGTGCACGAAATACGCATATGTCGGAAAGCGCACATTAAATTCCCAATTTTAGTAAGTATGTATGTAAGGCTAGGGGTCAGCAGTCGTATTAATTTGAAGATGTATTAATTTCAAGATCTACAATGTGCTAAACATGCTAAAAGACATCTGTTGAAAATGAAGTTAGTTTGTGATGACATTTGCTCTTTTAGAGCTATTTGCCTATTTGACTATTTGACAGTGATTCACATAAAGGCTTTTTTCTGCCAGATTTGAACAGTAACTTCAGGTTATAACATGAGCATTACCCTATTTCATGATGAAGCACAAAGTGAAGCAGATGGAAGATGTTCAGAAAGCATGGGGGTACATAGACTTTTTTTATAACAATGATGAGACCTTAATAAAATATTGAAAGGAGTTTGGGTATGATGCCAGAGTTATGCCATGGTTGTAGTAATGGCCTTTAGGGGCATAGTTGATAGGCATTCAAACAGTTAACAGAATGACAATGATGTATTTATGTCGTAATGAAATTACATTGAAGACATAATGTGCTGCCATACAAATGTTATGTACATCTAAAGTGTCATATATGAAGAATGCAATAACATCTGCTCAGAAATATTAATAGAATGGGTCATATTTGACTGTTAATTTATAACTGTCATATACAAGCCTGTTGTTTTATTATGGATTAACTGCTGCATTTAGGATTCATATTACTTGTGGGAGTGTGATGGTGGTGAAACACCACTTCGGCAGTACTTCAATTTCAAAGAAGTTTGAAACACTCTTGTTTAACAATTATGAGTCAGGTGGCAGTCTTGTAGTTGGTGAATTTACAGTTAGCACTTCTCTGAAAGATATTACAAATCTTTCAATTCCCATCAGATTTGACCAACTATAGAGCCTGCTTCATTTACAACAGCAAAAAAGACATATAATATTTGTGACCCGAGGCAGCGGAGGTGAGGTGAAACGGGGCTTAAGGTCGCATTCAAGATTATTGTACTTATATAGCAACATGTATGTGGCTGCTTGTACCAGTTCAGACATTACATAGCGTAAAGGGGGGCACCGGTGTCCCAGTCGTCTAAGGCGCTGTGCAGAGTTGCGTCCCTTGGGCACGCCAGAAACCTATGATTGTGGGTTCGAATCCCGGTTGGCCCCGATTATGTTTCTAGGTTTGTCAGCACCATACCCGTGCTCGTGGGTTTCACCGAAGTGGTAAATGTCTGAGACCTGCATCACTTCGGGCTTTCCTCCCACATTAAGCTGACACGCCGTGATATAACTGGAATACTGTTAAAAGCGGCGTTAAACCCAACTCACTCACTCACCCATTGTGTAAAGACTTTAAGTGTATAGTGCGTGCCCAATGAGTTACCATGCTGCAGTGTAACATGATGGATACCCCATTCAGACACATCTAGGGATTCT